TGTGATGACCATAAATAGAAATAACTAAATTGAAATTAACTAGGAAATAATTAAGCAAAATGAAAGCGATAAAAGTAATAATAGATCTCAAAGAAGAAACAATCTGATGTATAAAATAAGAATATGGGTAATTCAAAATATTACGTGCATTCTGGCAAAATCCATAGGAAAAAAAGTTATATTAATTCCCACAAATTTTATAAATAAATAAATGGAGTGAAGTGAGGATGAGCTTGTCGCTTGGGCAAGAATGATTGCCAATGACATGACGTTACGAGGGGCATTAGAATCTGGTGAACCTGACCTTTGATGTTGACATCTAAGGAATGTGAACTTGACCTTTAATGACGATATTATCTCATAGATTTGCAAAAAGACCTCGGAAATAGTGAAAGAATAGTCTTTGCAGTCATTGACAGTAAGATTGAAAATGTTTTGCTTGGAGAACTTTGCAGAGAATGATAGGAGAGAAAGAGAGAGAGAGAGAGAAAAGGGGGAGGAGGAGAATTCAGAGAAAGAAATGAACAACGATTGAGTGTAAAAATGACGAGTAAACATGACTAACAATTATGTTAGAGATTGAAAGCCTGATAGTTAGAGATTTAAAAAAATAGAGCACAGTTAGAGAATTAACGAAATAGCGGTAGGGACGGGTTCTTACTCATTTTGCAAATGGCAGTGATTGATGATTGTTCCGATAATATTTCCGATTTGTTGCGTTTTCTTGCATTGTCCATTTGTTAAGTAACTTTTTTGGTGGGTGCCTTCTTCGTGCAATTATCTTTGTAGTTAGTTAATTAATTAGTTAATTACAAAAGTAATTGCGGACAAAACCTTTAAATGTCAAAATTACTCTCGCATAATTGATCGATAATTGTAAACATTTTTTGTTCTTGCTCTATCAGGTATGAATGCATGGATGATAGTTTTGTTTAGTGTATATTTTAGTGATAAGTGATAACTTTTAAAATTGCTGATGAAAAGTAAAAATCAATCCTTATTTTTAATATTAATGGCTGAAAATATTTAATTTCAACACTTTTTCTCCTTAAGATATCAAGAATATTAATGACAACAAAGCGGTTCGAGTTTAAATCGTCGAAGCTCTCATCTGCAGCAGATCAGTTATGGACAGCCAGTAAGAGTGGTTTCAAAGCAGATGAGAAAAATATAAAATTGGATCTTGGCAAAACGCTTGCCAAGGATAAATCGGAAAAGAGCAGAAACATGGAAGCGGTAAAGAGTGTCGCTGATGGCTTTATATTTGGCTCTAAATTATCGGAAAAAGTAATCATCAACAATGGAGTATGCATTTTCTTCTTTTAATTGACTATTAAAATACAAAGGTTTCATATGGTGATAAGGTAAATACATAGCTAGTAATACTTGATTAATGGCGAGACCTAAAATTGTGACTGAAAACGAGTTATGAGGTGAAGATTTTTCGATAACTGGTGATATGAATTTTGGCAGGATAAGGCGGATGAACAAATCAACGGTGATAATTCCATAAGTGAATTTGCTGTAATAAAGAATGAAACTAAAAGTGATGCTCCAAAAAGTGTCATGGAAGTATTTGAGGAAATCAAACAGAAAGCTGCTTCATCGTCCTTTATCAACAATCATAAAGCAAAAGAATCAGTTGCAGTGAGTTTTAATCAGTTCAAAGTTTTAAATAATAATCCATTATACTTTTTTATATTTTTGCCAAGTGTTTGCTTGATTAGAAAGTTTTGAGAAGTAAATTTTTGAAAATATTGCATCATATTTTAATCATTCAGTTTTTTTGATATTACGCTTTGATACTTACTTTTTTTTTGTACTTTATTGCAAAATTCTAAAGTTTTATTTCTTTTGGAGAATTCTTCTAGAGATGTCATTTTCGGTCCTGGATTATAATCATTTACTGGGAACGTTCTTTTTTAAAAAATTTTTATAACACATTTGAACATAATATTGTTAATTTTTATTTTACTTGTTCCTAAAAAATCAATTTTGGACGAATTTTTTGAATTGATCTTGCGGTAGAATTGAAATTTATTTAAGATAAAGTTAAAATACATGACAGTTACATGTTTTCCTGCAGGAAGTAGAAACAGTCTCTGCTTCATCGAGTTCAGTTATTAACGAAGATAATTCGATTACGTCTTCAGAGAAAGAGGAGTCAATTCCACCAAAACTAGATATTTTAACTGGTGAGGAGGGTGAAATAAACATATATCGAGTAAGTTTTCTTGAAAAAAGTTAGTGTACAAATTATTGTATAAGCTTTTTTTACCAAAATTTAGAACTATTAGAGATATACTAAAAAGTAAAAAAAGTGTATTTAATTTAGGCAATGTGTAAATTACATTCATTTGACAATTCAACAAAATCGTGGACAGAGCGTGGTATGTCTTGCTTACGTATTAACGAACGGGGCGAACAGCCTCCTTACACATATCGAATCGGTAATGACTGTTACTACTCTTTTTTTTGTTTCTTATTTATTTTTCATTCCAGTTTTTTTATAAGTTAAGCTGCAGTATTCTTTATCAAATTACTTTCTATATCTCTTTCATAATTGAGCACGTTGTACGTGGAAATTGTTATTTGCCTTTAATGGTCACGAAAAGAATAATATTAGCTTAAGTACAGGGAGGGAAATATTCACTGCATAAAAACTGTTGAGATACAGTAGAAATAAGACTTTCTTAATTTTAATCTCAGTTTTCAAGTAATAACGAAAGTGTTTTTATATTTTTATCCTCTCACAGTAGAATGAACATTTCGCAGCTTTTATCAATTTCAATTAGTTTTGTTATTAACCATAATCTTCAATTTTAAATTTCCTTTAATCAGATCAAGGTATTTTTAGTCGGCCGAGTAATGGGCAACCAAAGGGTAGTGCTAAATTCGCAAATATTTCCGGATATGATTGTTGAAAAATTGTCAATGAAACGGGTGAAGTTTTCAGCCACAGCGCCAGATTCAGAAGTTCCATCACTTTTTCTTGCCACAGTAAATTCTTTTCAAATTTTTTTCTCACTCTGTGTTGAATCTTTTTTAAATAATCATAAGTTAATGGATATTGTTATCGTTGAAAATGAAGCTTATTGAAAAATGAACGCTCTTTCGTTTATGAAGGCCTGTCTTTAGTAGTGAAGTTCTCAGCGTTCTCAGCCACAGTGCCAGATCCTAAATTCCCTTCACTTCTTATTATAGCCCACTGGTGTATATTCTAGAAATCTGACCATTCATTTTTTGTAAAGTTTTACTTTTGACTGTAGTATTTATACCTGAACACGATCTTATTCTTTTTGAAATTTTGAAGTTGCTTATATTTATAGAAAGACTTGCAGATTTGCAGAGACACTTTGCTAGTATATTTTCATTTCTTGTTTTCAAAAGATTTGTTTGCTTGACTGTGAAATGATTATTTCCATCGTTTTTTTTTTTACTTGAAGTCCTTTTAAGGCATCTGAATTTGTCGTTGCACAACTTTATGGAACCCTCTCTCGAATTGTGGATAACAAGAAAAAGGAAACAACACGTAAGAGAAAAATCTCAGATACAGTTCCAGAGAATGATAATATCGAATCAAAAAAAGTTCTGGCTTAAAATTGATTTTTTCATATATTTTGCTTTCAATTCCTACGATTTTGAAATGAGACTTTTATGGGTTTTGTTTTATCAGATTGTCATTTAGTAGTATCTTTATTGTGTAAATGAAATTTGCTGTAAAAAATAGAAAAAATGAGAGGATGTTTTGCATGTTTTTAATCACAAGCAACAGCAAACATAAAGTTTATCATGGCCATAAACATTACAGCTGAGTAGAATCTTACTATGTAGAATCTCTGAGCTGAAGTTTATTTTTATACTTAAATTCATTACAGCACTGTTTCCTGTAATGCTGTTGTAATGGATCAATTAACGATTTTAATGTAGATAATTCTCAAACAAGAAATCATCTCATTTATTTTTGGATCATTTATATATATATATATCATCCACATTTCCAGAGAGATCGTTGTTATTTGTTTTATTATTGTCGAGAGGGCAATTGGATTTCTAAATCATTTCAAAATGGAGGCATTATATTTTCTGAGTAATGTTATTTGAAGGAAATGACATTATCATATATATATTAATTTCACGTTTGTGCAATATTTATTGATTGGCTATTTAAATTCATCCGTTTCCAGTTCATAAAAGGAAGTGATTTGTTTTCATAATTTTTACAGCACCAGCTTACTAGAATACTGCAATACAGTTGAAATTTAATTTAAATTGATCTTATTCTTATTCTTCCAACTCATTTGTCGAATGAAGTATACAGGATGATGTTTGCGAACTGGTAGAAAGTACTTTTTTATTTTGGCTGCAAATTAATTTAGGTCTTTCAGGAATGCACTGATTAATACGTTTTTATACTGCTACAACTTGTATTCAATCCATAATCTCTAGCTGATGATAACAACATCAAAGTATAATTGTAGTTGACAACTTCCATGCATCATTTGTCACTCTTTCTTGAGTTACTTACAAATACTAATTGATTGAAAAATTTTTTGTATTTTCCATCATTTTCTGTTAAATAGGAACGCGCACAAAAGTATTCGGTCTTTTTTTTGCCAATAAAGTTGCGTTGTTTTGTTATTGTTAATGTTGTTGTGCGACATTCATGTGTTATTTTCTTTTTCAGTTAGCTTACAAAATCAGCGATTTTAATTTCATTGTTTTTATGAATAGTTTTATTGTGCATGATGTGCAATGCAAGATGTATTAGTATTATGCCAATTTACATTGAACAGTAAACTAAAATGTCATGCTTAAGAGTTGAGATATATTTGTCGAAATTAATAATTAATAGCAAAAAATGGAAGTGAGTCATTTGTAGCATTCATAGCATTAAGATGTTATGATGTGGTATTTTAGTCTTAGGAAGTTTGCATTTTAAAAAGTTCTATGGCAAAGCTTTGCAGTATATGATGTAGAGGATGTAGTTGGCATAGTTAAGTATTATAGAGTCATTATACATATCATTTGATTCATATAAAGGAAAATCAAAAAAAAAAAAACTTTTGATCATGTTGCTTATGTATTGACTATAGATCAAGTTAAATTCTTAGATTCCAATATTTTTACAGTAATGATAAAGTATAATGACGAGTTAACTATTTGATAAAGTAACTATATTTAGCTTTTGGATTAATTTTCTTTTAAAACTAGGATTTAGAAAGGACTAATTTTATCTTATACTTGATATAAATGGACGTTTAGTATTTCATTTTCAAAATTATTTGTTGATTGTGATAATTGATGATGTTTTTTCATACCTTTGATACTCTTTTACAATTAATACAAGCAATTATGATAATTTCGTGCCCATTCATTCATTCCATTCCTTCATCCTGCACTTCACTTCTTGCACATTTGAAATAATGAAAATAAATAATCACTGCACAACTTTTAGCTATCTGACTTTATGTAACGTCCATAAAAAGCCACATAACACGTGTTCAAGGCCAATGTTTGTCTGAATAAAAATTTTATATGTACCATTAATGTTAGATTTTTTCTTGATTCCGTTAAAATATCTGAAAAAAAAAGAAGAATTTTCATAATGCGAGATCTTTTTGTTATGAGCTTGCTTTTTTTCTGTTTTTTATAAGAGTAAGTAACTGAGTACAGATAAAGGAAAATGTGATGGCTTACTTGAAATATTTCCAGTACAAACCGAAGTGCTCATTTATCATGCAATGTTGAAATAAAATACATTTAAGATTGTTTCGCTTAAACATGAAATAAAAAAAAAAAAAAAGATGTTTTAAGAGTGAATATAGAGATGGGAGAAACAAAGATTGATGGAGTTTGAAAATGAATACAAATTAGATATAGCGTTTGGTCCTATAGAAGTATCATTTTGTAAAGTAAGTTTACTCGTATTTTATTTATTTACTTTTAATTAAAATTCCATTAATCATATATGTATGTCTTCTCAAACATATTTAGTAATTGCATCCAAAACATCTCATTTAATTTGCATCTTTGGTATTAGTTTAAAATTCGTTTGAGTAATACCAATTTTATTTAGAACTTTCCCATTCAAATTATACTTCATTCTATCAAACTTACAGTTATCAGTAACTCTCCCGAAAAAATTAAACATTTAATTTGATTTTCTTTTTTTATTTTCATTCCAATTGAATTTAAGTTTATCTTTTAATTCCTGTTTGCAATTTAAGCAAATTAGTGAAAGTACAAGAGGATGAGAGGAATGAGAAGTGAAAAATTGGATGGAAGCAGAAAATTACTTTAGAACTAACAAATTACTACAAATCGATCATAGTATATATATATATAATGAATGGCTGTATCAAATTATGAATTGATTAATAATGAATTTGTGCTAACTTTAATTAATGATATAATTATACTAATTGTTGGTTACTAACTGAATCAATCTGATTACAAAAAATTATATGCAATTATATGCTGAGTCAATCTGATTACAAAAAATTATATTTTTTTTACATAAAATAAATTTTAACTTAATACTCTTTTTGTTTTGAGAAAAGAAGGAAGAGAGAAAGAGTATTTTTCATTTCTCGTTTCTGTGACTCTTCAATAATTTGATAATGCATTTCTTTTTTTTTTCTGCAATATTTAACTTTTTCATATTTCGTTTCGTTTTCTTTTTTTTAAGATGAAAGATACACTATAAAGTAGCACTGTTTAGTTGGCAATTTCATAGGAAAAAACGTTCTCCGTTTAATCATCTTTTTTTTTTTTTTTAGAAAAGTCGATGAGCTATGTGTAAATTTGTTTGTTTATTTTTATATGAATTTATAAAAAAAAGAAACCAATTCCAAATTTATGATCATTTTAAATTTTTCTGAAAGTTTTAATTCATGAAATTTTATAAGTTTTGTGAATTTTTTTAGCTAAGAAAACTTTTATTAATAAGATCATCATAAACTGTATGAATCTTCGAAATACAAACTCATTTTAACATGATTTAGAAAGAGATAAAAAAAATTTCCCTGGGCTATTTTAAAGGGAGATAATAATATACATAATTATAAGCTTAGAAGCTTCCCAATTAAACTTAATTATTCTATCACATTACAGTAATCAGTATTGTTACACTCAGCTATCAATCTAATCATATTATATCATCGAATGAAGTGAATTCAAATGAATATCAAAAATTATTATGAAAATTTCAATAATACATCATAATTCCTATCATTTCATTTATTTTAATAAGGAAATAAATGAAATCGAAAAATTTATCATTTTATTTATGGAAAATTTCTTTTTTTTTTTTTGTTCAAAATTATAAGAAATTATAAAGAAATAAAAGTGCAAAATTGAAAAATTGGAAGATTTTTGAAAGAATGATAGCTCATTTGTGATCATTCGAAGAGTAACAATCTGTTCGGTTAATCACTTTCTATGTTTGCCTCGATGCCAGTTGTTCGTGTGTAAATTGGATGATGCTAGTGATAAATATTGGTTGGATATCAGCAGACAGTGAAATGTTACGACGAGAAAGAGAGTTTAAGAGTTTGAAAGTTCGAGAGCTTGAAAATTCAGCAAACTTCTTCATACAAATGAGCAGTAGTGGAGGAAAGAGGAAGGAAAAGCGTTTGCTTTGGAAGCTATGGTTGACAAAGAATTAGCTATGAAATTAGCAAAACGATTTAATAAATTGAGTTTTGATATGGATGATATACGAGAACAATCACAATCATCATCATCATCATCACCACCGCCACCACCACCACCACCACCTTTGCTGCCATTAGAAAAACAGCAAACACCACCATTTCGAGCAATATCAGAAAATGAATGGGCTGATATGGATAAGATTATCGGTGAAACACTTCACAATTTAGAAATTACTTCACGTAAACTATCAAATACTGTTGTGCCAACAGCGATGAATTATGCACCACAACCATTCAAGAAATCCATGGATACTCTTCCTCAAGGTATATTTTATATTTTCAAGTTAGATATTAAAAGAATTTTAATTTGCAATTAATAACAAATTATAAAATTGATCACATAATACATTCATCATTTGATAATGTTTAATGTATCCAATTGAAAGATTAATAGTTGTAGTGGAAATGGTTAATCATTCTGATAACAATAAAAGGAATGATTCATCTGTGTTATCACCAAAATGTGCTGCTCCAATTGTTCCCATTGTTCATCACAAAAGCAGTTATCATGAACAAACAAAAAAATTTATCCATGATGATTTGGTTCTTCAAAAGGTGCCACTTTAATCTTTCATTCATATTTCTATTTAAATAATGCATAAATTTATTATTAGTTTGCAAATTTCGAGACTAAATTTAATCATTGCTTGCCATTGTAATCAATGCAATATTAAAAAGCCATAAGCCTTCGAGGTATATATATTTCGGGTAAATTTTAGTATTTCAGTTTCTCGATAATTTCATGAATAATTACATTTTTCATCCTTTTTTTCCCAAAAATTTTGTAAAGAAAATCTTTGACCTTCTTGCTTCAAAAATGTAGGATACATATGGCTGATATAGCGCGGGAAGGTCACTGACAACATATGGGAGTGGAGGAGGAGGGGGGTGATTTTAAATGAGTTGATGTGTAAAATTTATGTTTGAAAATTTGGCGGTTATTCTCTAATATTACCCGAAAAAAGTACCTTTTTCATACTTTTTGTTTATTCAAATTAAAATTTTTTTCTAATCACTTCAAAGTTATTTGTTTTAATTTGTTTATTGAATTAGATAAGGATTGAAGTGAATTGATTTGAATTTATTATCTTCATGATTAATGAAATCAAGTAGGTAAAATTTTACAGCAATTTTAAATGAGAAGAAATGATATCGATTGATGTTCATTTGAGGAGAAAAAAAAAACAATTAATTATTTTTTGAGAAGAGTGGAGAAGCAATCAATTTTTGGTGGAATAGAAACGTTTACATTTTATTTTATTGTTGTGTAATTTATGCAATCTTTCAAACTTCGAATTAACACATTAATTTTAGCATTAAATTGCTTGTAGAAATTAATTGCACAATTTTTACTCATTTATGATATAATTCAACTAATCAAACAATTAATTTAATTCAGACTTAAAAAATTTGGAACTCTCATTGATATACATTATTTGGTATCAATTATCATTAATTGTTACAATCTGATAACTCTGTTCACACTTCATATTTCAATAAGCATAGATTTTATTTTGAGGCTAATAAAAGCCAGTAGCTTGAATAATGAACAGCAATGAGTGAGAAAGCATCCAAAATCAAGTCTGATTTCTGCGAGTGAAGTGGATTGAAAAAAATAACGATTCAAAATTGAAATCAGAATCAAAATTCAATTTTAATTTAATTCATCCATACACTCTTAATCTGTAATCTCTCGCAAATTACAACTTTCATTATATCAAATATTAAAACTAAATAAATTTATAATTTAAAATAGCCGCTAGAAATTTTTATGATTTATCCAATTTTTTTAAAATATATTTCTAAATTCTATTGCAACTATTTCAACAGGAAAGAGACGAATTGGAAGCAAAATTAGCAAAACAGCGACAAAAAAAACCAATTATGGAAGCAGAAATTGGCACTCCTTTTGCTCTAACCGATATTAATACTGTTAATGAAACAGGAATTGATTCAGAAATTGACAAATCTCAGCTTATCCCACCAACCAAACAATTACCGCCACCAGTTTTACCAAAATCCACCTCCATTAATTTCAATTTGATAGAATCACAGCGGAACGATACTCGAAAATCAGAAACAATTTCAAAAAAATCCAATTCATCCCAAGTAAGTGCTATTTAATCTAACAGTTCAGCAATTACCAGTGCATTCTTCATCATTCTTAACATTTTATAACCCCTAAATCCCGT